TATAGTTGCTGGGGGAAGCATAACTTTGAATTTCCTGATTTTGGTGCATTTAATCTCAGCCATAATATTACATTAACGTCGGTTTTGCATTTCATTTCCCAGTTTAGAATAGCATCAGCGTCTTTCGCCTGTTTGTACAGAAAAAAATGCAGGCTGACTGAGGCTAAAGACAGGAAACCAAATCTAACAACTGAGCCCTGCTAGAAAGTGGGCCTAGTACCTCCCACTTGGAGAAGCTGCAAACACGGCAAACTTAACAGGAAAGGAGGGAAAAGAGGATTTTTTTTTCTATAGGGTACATTCTTTTTGACTACTTAGAGGCTGCAAGAACCAAAAACAGAAAACAAGAGGGCAATTATAGAGCAAAGAGCAATTCTTGAAGAGAGGTGGGCAGTCTTTCAGCCTTGAAGGGAGGAGAAAGGGAATCAATATAGTTTGACTTATAGCAATTTTAACCAATTTCCTGTAAACTTTTCTACAATGTCTCTTTCACAAGAGACCAGTAATGGTGCCAGTTCTAGGTCCTACTGAAATGAAACTTCAAGTATCTTTTTTTCTGTATAGTTCTAGTTCTCAGTCACCACCAACCCTGTCCCCTATCCTGCCCTCCAAAATAAACCCAGTATCTGTACAATTTTCTATACAAGAGAAACTCATTTGGTCATAATTCTAATTCAAATGCAGATAATATCTCTCCAAGGTTTCTGAAGGGAGGTGAGGGTGGAGGGCAATGCAGAAAGACCAAACACTAGAAAACCTCAACTCTAACATCTAACATTATGGATGCTTAAATACAGATGAGAAGGAAAACAATAGACAGGACTGCTTTGAAGGAACGAGAAACACTGCCCAGAAGACCAAGGGACTGATGCAGCAGCCAGGACTTAACTCTCCACATACAGAGAGCTGTACTACCCACCCCCTCCCCCGCAAGCCATGCAGACAGCTGAGGTTACTTCATCTTCCCCACAAGCTGTGGCCTATACCTCATTTTCCTCACTTACATTTGCTTTGGTCTCCTCTGAACACTGAGGTGGTGAGAGAACTTGCCCCGAGGTTAAAAATGCACAATTAAAGAGCCACCAAAGCTTTCAGGCTGCTCTCTGGGCCTCAGGGTCACAACAACCATCACATCATGCACATCCACACCAAGTGAGCAAAGCAAACTCCTGCTAGTGAGGACAAAGGAGCCACTGTTCCCTTAAATCAGATAAAAATTTACTTCTGTATCAAAAAGCAATCCTAAGACAAGAAAAAAATCCACATTTCTGAAATTTAGAGCCTTTAATACTTTAAATCATCTAAATTAACATTTGAGAGAAAAAATGTTTTCCAATGAAAAAGTCTCATATTAAATTAATACTTATCACGTTAATCTACATAGAAACACATAAAACATAAAATGAGCACAAAAATCACAACATGAAAACCTATTTACTAGCAAACTAATTCCCCCAAATGGAGTGGACCAAGCAAGTCCAGTTTCACTTACTTGAACAAAGTATAAAAATAACTAGCAAAAAAAGATGACAAATTGAAAATACCAGATGTTTCTACTGTATTTATAACCAATATTGTTACACACCCAAGCACAACAGAACACACAACTATCAGTTTCTCATGGAGGTAGTCCTTTAATATAGTCTCAATAAGACTTTTAAAAACAAGAGACAGATAAGAGATTATGCACTCCACACCAAGCCACCAAAACTTTTGGTCTTTCCTGGACCAAAACTTGTTCTGCCTCACATACCTGCAAAGTATGTCATGCTCTAAATTTTAGGGTCTAAAAGATCCAGAAGTGAGCTGTGAAGAGATCTTGGGGTATTGAAAGCAAAAGGGCCAATCAGGAGAGTTCTAGTTCTAGCCCTGGAACACACACAGGGTTTTCCATAAAAAGCGTGTCACAGAACAGCTATCTCACACTCTGAAAGAAGACCCATTAGATTGATTTTCCTGTTTCTTTTGGAAGTTTCTTCCTACCACAATCTCAATCTTTCCTCCTTTCATTTAAATCTGGGTGGAGTTTTTGTAGCCATTATTAAAATACAGAGCAAGGTATTATCACATTTACTAAGAATAAGAAATTAGTAGCCTAAACTATCCCCCACTCATTTTCTCTTACTGGGCTTGGTTTTTTTGCCTATAGTCATTTTTGTCCCTCTACTGCAAGCTTTTCTGGTTTCCTCACTTCCCTGGCTGACAATTCACCTGGGCAGCAGGGGCTCTGATGAGAACCTGCCCTACAGACACCTCACTACAAGTACTACATCATACCTGGGACTGAAAACTTCTCTCACCCATCTTCCAAGTTTCCTCTGAATTCTATCAGAATCATGACCTAGAAACCTTTGAGATTCTCCTTCCCCTAAGTGGAGTGGGGCTTTAAGTTGCAATTAATAACAGGTCTTGGTCTCCCCACCCCTTTCTTGAGGGCTGCCCAGAGAGTCCAGAGAACATACATGTGTGGCCCAAGCTCTCCTGCCCGCCTGCTGAAGGCAGCCTTGCAGAGGCTTAATGAAGTTGAGATGCATTGCATTTATCACTTTCCCTAGACCCACTCGAATCCATCACTTTGTCACACCAAGAAGTTAGATTGATCTGACAGGATTTGCTCTTCTTCAGAAACCCATGTAAGTTATTACTCAGCATCCCACATTCTTCTAGCAGTTTGCTGATTGATTATCTGACGATCGGGTCAACTATCTTCTCTGGTATCACAGTAAACTAACAGGTCTATAATTTCCACGATCACTCGAGATAAGCAAGACAGCAAATGCCTCTCTCCAAGTTCTCTAAAGCAACAGCTAACGCTTAGCTAATGATGCACCTTAAGTGCCCTTGGAATAACATTATCAGGGTTCACTGATTCTGGAATAGTCTTTACTTAGATGCAGATGCTCGTAAACAAGCACCAAGCTCCTTATCCAATGTGGGTCATGAAAGCCCTTGGTCCCTAAGTCTGGGAAGCAAGTTGGTAGCACAGATGATTTAAATTCCTGCTGCATAATATCTCCAGTGTGAATACAGACACACAGACAGACATGCCCTTGAAAGAGATACAAAAGATGACACTGACCAAGCAAACTGAGAGACATAAATCAGGTTATACCTTCAAGAAAACTGGCAAGACCTTCCACGAGATAGGTAAACAGAGCTATGTAACTGTCAAGCTTACAATCCAAGTGGAGCTAAGAAGCACATATACAAAAGCATGTTCCAGGAAGCAGCAAGTGCCATGAGGAAGTGCCAAGCGAGCGATTATGGAGATCCAGAGGAGAAAAAGATGAAGCACATGTAACAGAGGTGTGTTAGAGTTATAGTCATGACCCATAGGGCTTACTCAGGACTGAAACTTAACCTATAAGGGAAACATTATGGGACATTCGAATGTGGGTCTTGGATTTGCAACTCAAAAGACTCCACAACCAGAATTCCCCTCCCACCACTCAGCTCCCCAACACTGGCAAGAGCAGGAGAAAGCTAAGTGTAGCTTGGACAGCTCCCAAACATTCCCTTCAATCTAATTCAATCTAGAGTTCCTTCTCAAGGCACCATCCTTGTCTAGCTGGCCTGATTCCAATACGCCAGAAGCAAGCCTCTACTTTAACAACAAACAGGAAAGAGGAAAGGAAAGAGGGTGTAGCATCTGGACAGGTAAAACAACTTACAATCCACAGACATGCCCCCAAGAGAAAAAAGCTAACCATAAGAAATGAAGACTTCATCTTTTTGTGGTCCCCAGTGGTCCCTGCCTCCCAAGTCCCAATTGTGAGGTCTCCCCCTCTGGCCTCCTAATGAAAGCTACTCTCTCAAAGCAATAGATTCACATATTCCAAAATTACACACTATAACCTAAGCATTGCTGGAGTTGCCATCCTAGAGCCATGCAGACCCGAGTCTCCACACTACTGTCAACTGCACCACACTGCCATTCAACCATCCCCTCACATACCCAGCATAAGTACCTCTCTGTTACTAAGTCAAGCTCCCTAAAGATGATACCTTAAAAGATAAAAGGTCTTTGTATACAAGGAAGGTCTTTGTTTGCAAGGAAGAAAAGCAAAGACATTTTCCTTTCCAACAGACTAGCAATGGCACTTGTTCAGATTCTCTAATGCTACTTAACAAATTACACTAAACCAAGTATAGAAGCACACACCTATAATCCTACCACTTGGTAGGATGGCAAGTTCAAATCCAGCCTGGGCTACAGAGTCAGCTCAAGGACACTCTGGTCAATATACTGTGAGGTACTTTATAAAGGAAAAACAAACAAATCCTCAAATGTGTGGCTTAAAGGATTAAGAACCAATTGTTCTCTGTCACAGTTCCTGTGAGTCAGGAATGTGATAGTTGCTTGGCTAGCTGAGGGTCTCTCTTGGGGTTGAAGTCAAATATCAGAAGGCCTGGCTGAGGCTGTCAAATTCACTGCCACAGTCACTAACAGTAACAGTGGTAAAGCAGTGTTGGCTGTTGGATTACAGACTCAGTTTCTATACATGGGAGTCTCTCCACAGTACTGTCTGAGTGTCCTCATGTGTTAGCTGGCTTCTGCCAGAGCAATGATCCAAAGGAGCAAAGCAGTCTAGTGTTTCTTCTAACCTAGCCTGTGACCTCCATCAAACACTACATTCTACCTATGAGATGAGGTTATCTATGTATGAGTCAGGGTAAAAGTCTTAACACCAGGAGCTAACTACCACCGTACTCCTTAAAAAGACACACAACAATGGCAAGAGAAAGGACAAAAGAACCCACAGGAAAGAGGAAGGGTGGGAGTGCAGCATTCTGAGTCCCAGAAGCTGAGACTAGGAAGAAACAATGTATCCAGTTCCCCACAGAGACTGCACAGTTCTGCCTTGTCCTTGCACACATGGAACCAACCTACATTACTAAAAGCCAGAAGACACGAGAAAACTCTGGGTCCCAAGAAGCAAGACTCTCCTCCCTCCCTCTTGCCCACCCAACCTTTTCTGAAGCAATGATACAACAGTTACCTGAGGATGAATCTGTGGCTTGTCGCATGTGGCCTCAAAGTCCAGCACTAAAAAGTAGTGATACCTCTGGGGAGGGAAGGGCACCATTGCCGCCATTGACGCGCCAAAGCCGTGGGCCGCCAGCTTTCTGGTGGATATGGAACAGAACTCAGGAACACCACAGGGAGAAAATAAGTGGGAGCCCAGCACTTTTCTTGCTCTTGAAAGTAAATATGAAGAAAATCGAGCTGCTCCAGTCTGTAAAGGCGCTAGCATTGAACATCCAGAGGCATCTAAAACTTAGGGAAGGAAAGTTAAAAGAAAAAGAAAGCAAAAAAACAAAAAAACAAAAACAGAGAGCCTGGGTTACTTCCCTCCCATTGTTGCCCTCTCCATCCAGTCTTCAGAAATTTCCATGCAGCCTGAGCCACTCCCCACTATCTCCAGGCCTTTTTCTAATTCATGGTTTTTGTTACCAGAGTTTAAGACCCTAATACCAGCCCCTGCAGTGTTATTACTACAACTGTCTCTCAAATCTTTCTCAAAGCAACACACAAAATTAGGTTCCTCTGTAAATGGAGCACTAGTTCAAAAGAGAGCCAAGAGGATTGCCTCAGTCATTTCTCAGGTGGCAATAGTTAACTTTAACCCAAAGGATTCCAAAGCAGTTTGAGGTGACCAACTGCACTGTCAGTCATAGAAGCAGACTCACTTTCCTGAACACTCTCTTCAGCTCTCTTATATACCATTTGGACCTGGCTCATCTGCCTGTGACCTGATAGCTTCACTTGCCCCCTACCTTCTCCTAGCAAGAGAGCATGAAAGCCAACAAAATCAACCCCAGGGGACTCTGTTGAGGGCGTTCTGATGATTTCCAATCCACACTGGTAAGTAGCACCCTAGGGAACTGCAGAGCACAGCTGGCAACAGCCTCAGGCCTCCTCATTTGCAGCCTTGGGCCTCACTCTCTTCTAGAGGCCCTGGATGACTATGAGGCCTTTTAAACAGGAAGGGGAAAGAGAAAACCCAGATGTGGGCAGTAATGGGAGTATTTCTAACCGTCTAGTAAAGTTTTCTGAGGGAACATGTACAAAAAAAAAAAAAAAAAAAAAAAACCCTGAATCATTTTTCCTTTACATTTTCCCTTTAAATTCACTGAATATCTGGCCTCCTCTGAGGGTTAACTAAATAGAAAAATCAAAGCCTATGTTTTACTCACAAATAACCCGATCTGTGAGAGAAGGAAACAAGGAAGAGATATAGGAACGTGTCCTTCCCTGCACTAAACTCAATATAAAAATTTCCCTCAACTTTAATTTTCAAACAAGAAATCTTATCATTTCATACACAAATTGCCATCAGTTTATGCTTCCTAATGCCACATTCCAACAGAGTCAAAGGCTTGCCTCTGACTAGTTATACCAGTAGACATTGTCTCCCCACGTAGGGTAAGAGGACAGCACCCTGTGAAACGTGGAGCACATTCCCAGTAAAACGAAGTCACTGTCACCTGAACAAAAGCCTGACTCACTGAAAACTACGATCACTTGCCTGAGTATCTATTAGGAGACACACTAGTATGACTCCTGTGTATTCTGTATTGAAACATGAAATATCATAGGATTACGTGAAGACTGAAAAGGATTCCTCATGGATCCTACACTTGTTCTTACTATTGCTTTACAGCCTACCCAAAACTCATAGTCCAGGGAGACAAAGGAAAGCCTGAGTTCACTATGTAATCTCTTGTAAAGCCATAAAAGACCAATGTCCCTTTGAAAATCAAGAGTCTCAAAATAAACCCATTCTATCACTCCCTCATCAACAGTACCAGGAAAACGTCAATGACAAGATGATAATGGCTCCGTTATCCATTCTCATTTAGAAGCAAAGTCCTTCTGGACCTTAGACCTCTTCTAGCCAACTGAGCCAGGGAGAAAGACTTTTCAAACTCTGAATGTGTCTATAGTATACACAGTATATAAATCAACTAGACTCTGCCTGCGACATACTACAAGCAATTGTCTTGACTAGCAAGAACTTCTTCCAGTTTGTGTTCTGACTTCAGCTCTATTCTTCAATTCCTCGCCTATACAATGATAGTAATTATAGTATCTACTTCTAAAGTGAGAATGGAATGAGAACAGAGGTAAAATATCAAGGGCAGTGTCTAGTGCATAATGACTCAGAAAGGTATTAGCTTATTATCATTACAACTAAGACACTGGCTCTTCCTTCTGTGAACAATGCTTACAAAGTTGTCTTCTACATTCCTCTAATTCTCTAGACCTCTCATAGGGCAAAATATACATATCCTACTATGTCTTCCCTTGGACAACACACTGATAGCTAGAGGACCTCCTGGTTTACAGGCTTGGTTTCCTTATCTGATCTCATAGACATCAAGAAGGACCACTTAGAAGAAGTCTTAAGAATAGACATTAGGGCCTGGAGAGATGGTTCAACATTCAAGTACAGGCTACTCTTCCAGAGCACCTGAGTTTGATTCCCAGCATCCACATGGTAGCTCACAACTATCTGTAGCTCCAATCCCAAGGGATTGGATGTCATCTGGCCTCTGCAAACACTGCATGAACATGGTGCATAGACATACATACAGGCAAGCAAACCACACATATATGTAAAAATATACAAAAACAGACATTAAGAGGTCAGGCTTCCACAGATCAATACTAACTGCAACTGCCCTTCTAACAACCAAATTCAGATTAAGTCAAAGGACAGTAGTAATGCTCTCTCTTTGTAAACACTTCAATTCTAAAACTGTTAACTAGAGTAAAGGAGGACAAATATCTACATCATTTGGAGTTGGGAGAAGCAGAAGGGTCTTAGATGAAGGGTAAGAACCCAGGCAGGTAAGAAGGGCATCCATGGAGAGGTGGCAGAGTGTACTGTATATACCATGTCAGAGCCTAGGGCAGGCACATCCCAAAAGGAATTTAGTAAGATTCATGGGCAAGACAAAAAAGGGACTCCTTGGGGAGGGGTAAAGAGCCAGTAACAACTGAATAGTTAACATACAAAAAGGACAAGGATACAAAAAGTATAATGGAAACCAGGTTTCTCACCAAAAACCTGTAGTATTATGTTATTGTTTATGGGGTTCTGACTGTAAGAATTATGATTTCTGGTATAGACATGGTGGATATGGATATACAATGTAGATATAAACAGAAGTATGATTACACACACACAGCTATAGATGCACACACTAGCACTGACTAAGGATGAACACAGCAATGAACACACCTAATACACCAATGCCTTCCAAATACCACTGTCCACAAAAAGAACTATTCTTCCTGGAGAAATGGTAAGAAAAGTACAAAATGAGCCTATGATATCCTACAAGAAAGGAAGGGAATTCTCAAAGAATAGTAGAAACAAATCAAAGGGACTCAAAAGTCCTTGAGGGGACTCCTACTGGTCAAAAAAGATGTTGGTAAATTATAGTGCAATGAATAAACTTGGAAACCATGAGTCTATAAAGATAAATACAACTAAAATCTATGGAGGGATACAAAAATGATTTCAATGTATTTCTCCATAGAACCCTTATTAGTTACTACAAGAAGTAATTTCAAAATAGAAAAGATGAGCAGACGTCATCTTACAAAACTCTTCAAAAATAAGCATTACTGCTAGATGTGATGACACACACCTTTAATACCAGCACTCAGGAGGCTGAGACAGGAACACAAGGCCAACCTGGTCTACACAGTGAGCTCCAGATCAGCCAGGATTATATGGTAAGACCCTTGTCTCCTCCATCACAAAAGTGTATCAATAATGGGAAAATCAAAATTCGTGCCACTTGACAGGATATCATGAGAACAAAGAATCATTTCTGATATTCCTGCTGAAGAGGCATAATATGAGCCTAACTGTAAGAAAGTACCAGACAAACCCTAACGAAGAACAATCCACACAATAGCCAGCCCATAGTAATGTCAAGGAAAATTTACTTAAGGAAAGTCTAAAAAGACACTACAGATTTGATACCTAAATGCAACCCACAATTATCAACAATCCCCTTTTGCAACAAAGAACATTCCTAGGACAATTAACAAAACTTAAATGGGATCTGTGAACTAGATAGAGGTTATCATATCCATGTTAATTGTCTGATTTTGATAGCTGTATTGTAGTTAGGTAAGAAAGTACCTGCTTATAAAAAATGCACGTCAACTATCCTTAATAATGGGACATTAGTTCAGGAATTTAACCTTCAAATGGTTCGGAAAAAAAAGCTTTGTATTGCACTTGCAATTTTTATGTAAATTTGGGTTGTTTCCAACTTTTTTTTTTTTTAAATACTTTAAAAAATCCAGATGTAAGGCTAAGTGTGTAGCTCTGTGGTAAGGTACTTGCCTACCATCAAAAGGCCTTGGGTTCAATCCCTAGCACAGTAAATTAAATAAATAAAATTCATGTGCAATGCAGCTTTAAAAACCAAACAGAATGAGAGGTTTTTGTTTTTTTGTTTTTTTGGTTTTTTTAAGAAGAAAAGATGGCTCTCACAGCATCACATCTCAGCCGCAACGCCACGGAGTCACCAGTGGAAATGCTCAGCACTCTTTACTCTCACTCTGGCCTTGCACAGCCCCACAGCCCACGCAGGCTTTCAGAAACATCCCATAATTCCTGCAACTGCATCCAGCCTGCTCTTGGGTCTGCTGGCAACTTGAGGATTTCTTTTCCATTGATGTCTTTATATAATTTAAGTCTATAGCTCCATCAACTAGGATTTCGCTATCTAGTTGAGGGGAAGACCGCAAAAGAATTGATGATTCTCTGTATTTTTAATCAGAGACTAAGATTTACTCACATTTAGTCTCAAACATCTTTTCTCTATATCAAATTAAAAAGTAGTAAACAGGCTATAGCAAAAAATAAAAAAATGAATGACTTTCATCTCAAAACGAAGGGATCAGCTTCCCAATGGGGACAGGGAGGGGTAAATAGGGACTGCCCTGAGGCCAGCCCGATTTGGAGAAACAGGCCTGCGCCACAGCCCCTGGAGGATGGTCTCTGTGCAGAGTATTTACACAACAGACACCAATGGTTCCTCTGCAGCCATTACTGTCTATCAGGTAAATAACACATGTGCCAAGACACACATTTAATGAGGGAAATAATATGCCTTTATAAAAAGACTCAATCTGTATTTACCTGAGAGACCAAAGAAGCACCAAATCACCAGATTAGTGGAACCACAGAGGAGTCGTTCTGGTGTCTTGGGTAAATAGACATTTTATAGCCTCCATTACTAGAAAGG